TGGGGCCACCAGTAACCAAATCCCCAGAAAGTGTAGCATGTGGAGGGCTGTATTTACATCTCAGGGGTTTATAGGCACCCTTTACCCAAACAGTTTAATGTTTTGTCTTAATGCTGTGAGTAGGATCTGACTGTAGGTTAATCTGTGACTGTAGGTCTGACTTTGTGTGCATATTGTAAATGTAGGTAGGGTCCAATTGTTGCATCTAGGGTGTGAACACCATTTATAAATCTTTAATATTGTGTTCTAAGTGTGAGTGTAATGTGCAAGAGGTGAGTGCAGGGAGTGAGTAAACAGTGCCAAATGGCAAAGCTGCCTTTAATGTTGCTCTCCCTCTGTGCATTTTCCCCATGTAGAGGTGCATTTATACTACACAGCACATAAACAGCCCTAGGGGGAGTTGGCCAGAATGATGACCCTCCTTAGAGATGTGTTTGTAATTGATAATACAATTTCCATCATCCACATCACCCTCCCATCCCTCTTATATAAATCACATTATTCAGAGATGCACTAGTTGGCCACAATCTGTTAAAGTGGACCACCATAACCACTGTAACTCACTGTAGATTTAATGTTGCCTGGGGTCTCCTGGTGCCCTGCCTTAGTTTAATATTCCAGATTGAACAAGATTGACACTGATCAGTGTAAATTCTGTTTTATCAATGTGTCCAAAATGGCAGTGACCCCTTGGCACTGGGAAGATCTCTGGTTTGTATCAAACCATTTTTAAACTTTTTGATGTTAAATTAAGGGACAGTACCAGGAGCGTCTAGGTACATAACTATAACAGCCATGGTGGTTATGTCTCTTTAAAACATTTTTAAAGCCTGTATGTCCGTGTCCTACCCAAAGTGTTTAAACACCTTCCAAAGCTCTAGGGATAAAAACGGGGGATAAAAAAAAGTTTGTCATAAAAAAGGACTCTGCCAAAAGATTTCCACTGGTTTACCGTGATTTTGTCTTAATTTTCAAATTAAATTAAATCAATCATCCTTTATTTTAGATCAGGGGTTCTCAACCTTGTCCTCAAGGACCCCCTACCAGTCCAGGGTTTAGGGATTACCTGGGTGTGTCTAAGGTGTTTAGAAAAAGAAAAAAAAAACACCTTAGATTCTAAGGTGTTTTTTTCCCCTTTTTCTAAACACCTTAGACACACCCAGGTAATCCCCAAATCCTGGACTGGTAGGGGGTCCCGAGGACTGGGTTGAGAACCCCTGCTTTAGATGCATAACTTGGCAGAAACAGAACATCTTGCAACATCTTGCAATTTTTTTAATGTAACTTGTTTTCAAGAACCCTTATTAAGATAAGTGGCTAAACAAAAGTTAGCGATGACAGTCAGTGTAAAAGCTTATCAGATGTATAAGTACATACAGAATAGATCGTTTGTGATTTAATAATCTGCAATTTTAAGCACTTTTAAACAGTTTGATGAGTAAACATGATATGAAAAATTCAGGATAATGACAGTTCCCGTATAGGTGATTCCTGTGTCGTGTCCTAATATTGCTTGTCAATTTTGATATTGATGATATATACTTAATTTATATATAAATTGTAATATACTATATAATAAAATAGAATGCTGCAAAATATCTTTAATGTCCGGTGTCAAGGAGTGAGAAGGCATATTTTTTATTTTTTTATTTTCTTCTTCTTTTTTTTTTCTTTTTCATTTCAGACATTACCAGCCTCTTATATTCTTTCCTACTTTGTATCTCAGGCATTGGTGTATTAGTCATCATCAATGTTTTCTCTCTCCTCTTTTTCCTATTAAATGACTTTAATTTATAGAAAAAACATTATTATTAATTAACAAAAAAAAAGCTAAAACATGAAATAGCCATACACAACATTCATACCTGATGATGAAACCCTCTTCCCTAGTCTCTCTGCATTGCTATTCATAGTACTAATATATGAGCTAGCATTTCTCTTTTCTTTTCTCTTTTCTTTCCTTTCCTTTCCCTTTCTTTTTCCTTCCTTTCTTTTCCCTTTTCCTTTACTTTCCTTTTTTCTTCCTTTCTTTTCTTCCCTTCCTCTTCTATGTATATTAGTCTACTGCCAACAGTTTTTCTAGCCACTTATTTATGTGAAATAGATTTTTTTTCTTCAAATTTCTGTTCAGACCTCCCTCCATCCTAAGTTGCGAAATTAGTAGGTTTTTTACTATATCCCAGTTTGGTAGAGTTTTGGTTCTCCACCTTTTAGTTATGGAGATCTTTGCTGCTATTAATGCGTGAGAAAAAAAATGTTGCAAATCTACTTTATACTGATAAATATTTAAGTGTAAATGCAAGGGGAAAATTAAATCTGGTTACCATTTCTATTTTAGACAAGAACATTTTCCAAAATTCTTTAAGTGGGGGGGGCAACTCCACCAAATATGTAGACAATCTCCCCCTTCACATCTCCAGCATGTATCTGTTTTACTCTGGTCTATTTTATTTAGACGGCTAGGAACCAAATAGAGTCTTTTAATAATCTTAAAATGTAGTTCCACTAAATTTAGGCATTTAATGCGCCTAGCAACTGTCAGCCATGCTGTGTTCCAATCTTGACCATCGATTTTTTTGTATTTTTAGATCTTTCTCCCATTTTTTTATCGCTGGAAACGTCAAGTCACCCTCTAGTTGTCTCAATACCAAATTACACTTATTTAATAAATTTGTCATGTCCTTTCCTTTCAGTAAATTTCCTAATTTATTATTAAATTCCCATTTCTCTTTATTTAAAGTTTTATTCAGATAACATTTAATCCTCATGTAATTAAATTTCTCGGTTTCGGGGAGACTAAAATTAGTACATATTTGTTCAAATGAATTAACCCAGGGTCCTGTTGTTATATCTTCTATAGTTTGTATACCTGCTCTTCTCCAATTATTTAGTCTTAGGTCTTGCATGTTATTTTCCAATATTGAGATCAGTAGGGTACTACCTGCACTTTTTTTTATCTTACTCCACATTCCTCTAATGGATTCAATTACCACACTATCAGAACTTGGTTGGGTCTTATTTGTGTCTCCTTCTTGAGTAAACCAAAAAAGTGTTACTAGATCTCTACCATCTGCAAGTTCCTTTTCCACCGCGTACCACCTTTCTAGCTTAGCCCCAGCCAATTGTGAGATGATACTATGGAAAAGGATACTCGCTTTGTGGTATTGTTGTATAAGTATTGTCCCATATTTTATTTTACAGTAACTGATAACATCAACCCAAAGCTTAATAAAGAATGAATATTTCCAATCATTGAGCACCCACGCAATGTATTATGAGAAACCATTGTTGGGTCCAGATTCAGGAGTTTAGAACCACTTGTTAACACTTCTGTTTCCAATATTAAATCATTTTTTGACTCAATACTATTTTCATTGGTACTAAAAGCTCAGGATGTTTTATTGTTTAAAAACGTGCTTCTCTATTCACTGCTAACTATTGTCCTCTTACGGACATTTATTGTAAAATAAAGAAAAGTTTAACTTTGTAATTTCAACACAAGATAGAAGCTCATTATAACAAATATTTCCAGGCAGTTTTATAAAGAAGCTTTAATATACTTTGTATTGATCACAATGGGATACAAAACTGGAAGGGACCACTTAGTGTTCGTTTTAGCTGGGTTCGTGTTAGCACCAATTCTCTTATTGAGAATCTCCTTTGATAAAAAGTTTGTCTTAAGGCTATTCTGGGTCCAGCGTGGCTGTGAGTGAACAGTTTTTGAAGGTAATTTAATAGGACAAAACCCTTGCCAGTTATAGGTCAGCTTTAAATAGTATTTAATAGATCTATTTGCCCTTTCATTTATAGCGTTCGTTTTCTTCTAGAAGTGAGACTGATCACTTTAAATGCTACTTTGTATTATATCATTTTTTTAATCTCAATAAAGTTTTTTGATTTATTTGACACATTATCTGAGAATGAGAAAATAAGTCCAATAATTATACTTAAAGGGACACTATAGTGTCAGGAAAACAAATCGGTTTTCCTGACACTATAGTACCCTGAGGGTGCCCCCACCCTCAGGGTCCCCCTTCAGTAGCTCACCTAATTCCAGTGCCGGGCTCCCTTACCTCTCCTCCCCCTGACATCAGCATCTTCGTCCGACGTCACAGGAGCCGAATGCACATGCGCGGCACTGCCGCTCGTGCATTCAAAGTGTCCGTAGGAAAGCATTTCTCAATGCTTTCCTACGGACACTCTGCGTGATTGAGGCATAATATGCCTAAATCATTGCAGATGCGCCTCTAATGGCTGTCTGGCAGATAGCCACTAGAGGCTGGCTTAACCCCAAATGTAAATATAGCAGTTTCTCTGAAACTGCTATGTTTGCATCTGAAGGGTTAAAACCTGAGGGACCTGGCACCCAGACCACTTCATTGAGCTGAAGTGGTCTGGGCGACTATAGTGTCCCTTCAAGAAAATATAACAAAAGAAAAAAGGACACATTAACTGTTCTAAATTGCAATATAATAAACAACAACAAAAACTATAACTAAACTCCCAGCACAGCAAGGGGCAATAGTTAAAGGGACATTATCACTCCAGTTAAAGCACTTTAACTTGCTGATGTGCTTAATGTGTTAAGAGAGTGTGTCTGTTTTCACTTTCCAAAGAGTGTAAGTTTCAATAGAAATTGGCACTTTTATAAATTAGCATTGTTACAAAGTTATTAAGAGACAGGCAATAGCTCAGAGCACCCGTCTTACAAAGACTTCTCATTTAGCTGCATTGATAAGTCTGTGATTGGACAGTAACAGCAAGTCTGGGCGGAGTTAGAAAGGGAGGGCTTGCAAAGGCTACAGGCAAGAGTTTTTCTTTGAGCTATTGCAAGCTGTTTTTAGATATGTCCCCAATGAAATAATGCATCAGTAAATGTAGCATACAAATACAAAAAGATAAGTCCTGCGCTCACTCCCATCACTACTGGGCCAGCAGCAATGACTACAGTACACATCAGCCCCAATATATAGTAAAAACCAAAGAAAAGAAAAAGTTACCTGCACTCTCTCCTTAATCCCTATATATATTTACACAAATGGAGGTCATTTAGTTGCTCCAATGGCCATTGGAGCAACTAAATGACCTCCATTTGTCTAAATATATATAGGGATTGAGGAGAGAGCACAGGTAACTTTTTCTTTTCTTTGGTTTTTAGTAAATGTAGCATGTTTTCATTGGTATATCTACTAGAGCACACTTACCCAAACTCTGGCTCTCTAGATGTTGCTGAACTACAACTCCCATGATTCTCAGCCCATCTATTTCATTCATAGAATCATGGGAGTTGTAGTTCAGCAACATCTGGAGGGCCGAAGTTTGGGGAAGCTCGTACTAGAGTGTTAGAAAATTGGAAGGGGATGGGGCCTGAGCTGCATGGCGGCTAGACCTTGTTCGCATGAGTTCTGGGACAAAACAGAGTATTAGGCACACGTTTGACCTCCTAAAAGCCTGTGACAAGAAACAGAAACCTGTTATCGGAACCATGCAGGGTACCATGGATCGTTGCCGCGAAGAGCATGCCATTGGATCCCGAACCCACGTGGTGCTGGCACTTAGAGCCCTGTGCCCCCCCTCTTTGGGCCGGTGGGGGTTATCCAGACCCACCATTGAGCTAATCAACACTTATACTTACCTCAGCTTGCGGCTCTGGTCATTACCCTGATCTCTCTCAAAATGGAACACGGCATGTGCTCACACGAGAACCGAGACATATTCTCTTCCTTCCTGGAAAGGTTGGACAAGCTGTTCCTGGATTTCTGGTCCAAACTCGAAGGCCATCTGGTGAGCAGCTGACACATATCATGCCTTGACCTCAATGCCGGGATCCGATGGAGGCGCATCCGGCAACTCTAGTGTTTTTTCTCTCTAGTTTGCCTAGCATATTAATCAAATCTACTATTTTGTGGACAGCGCTCTTCATGTCTAGAGGACCCACTCTGCTTCAAAGCTTCAATTTCATTTAGATTTTAGACATGCCAGCTGGAACCCCGTTACAATTAAAAAATGTGCACTGTTATAAAAATGCAACTTTCTTTCATCATACTTGCTATTGCTGTTGTGGCATTGCAAGTTTATCTGTCATTCGATGCACAGCAAAAATAAAGAATTAAAAAAATCCATTGTAGTGGTACTTTAATAGAAACCATTGGAGCATATGATCTATAAAAATATATTTTTCATGACAGTTTAATACTCAGTGTAACAATGTACTAATAAATGGGAGTATAATAGTATAATAAAGAGTGTGAAGACGCACTGGTAATCAGCATATTATGTCTAATGGCCCTGATTTCAGTATCATGGCTGGAGCAATTCTGGCCTGGACGAAAGACACCTGTAAGTAAGTATCTTGATAATGAACTTTTCAAGGACCAACATGTTGATTTGGGAATTTTTAATCACTGTTCACTAACATTAAAAAAAAAGTGTTAAAGTGTGTGTGTGTGTGTATGTATATAGAGAGAGACAAAAAAAGAGAGAGGGAGATCAGCGTTAAAAAACTGAACAAAAATTGGCAGCACACCAGAGGGTAGGAGATTCCCTCCAACTCGAGAAAAAAGAAGACCAGAAAATATAGGATGCATCAATGATAAAATCTATTAAAACCAAGACCGGCAAATAAAAAGCAATAAGATAAAATAAACACTCAAAAAGGTAATAATAACATGAAACAATTAATGTCCTTAAAATGAAAAAATATTCTGCTCCAGGTATATAGAGCCCCAAAGTTGTACTTCTAATCACTAGTATCCGTGCCATGTTCCTGATTATAGCTTCATTTCATGAATGTATATAAAAGAGCGTAACATCAGGTAGAAGGGGTTTTCAATCACCATTTTCCCCACCATAACTGTTTTGGTTGTTACTTTATTTGCCGATTAAAGCATGTCCATAATCATATGTGGGTGATAAACCCAATTTTCAAGAAGTGGCCTAGATTCAAAGCTTGTTCCACGATTAATCTTGTAATTTGTATAGGTTTTAGCTGTCAAGCTTGACAAATTCTGATTTATCTATTATTGCTTCTACACATCTTTGTAATATGTAATACTGTCACACACGGACATTTCTCCTTAACATTTCTTGCGTTTCTAATCTTTAAGTTAGCTTGCATTTTATCTATCAATGCTCTGTGGAAACTACAGATTTCAACGTAAAGATTGATTACTTGTTTAATAATCGCTTGAGGCAGAAAAATATCACAATGTTCACAATGGTATAAAGGGGTGAGAAAATAGAAAGGTGCAGTTATAGGGTAAATCCCCACCTCAAAAAATTTACATAAACATTTATCCCATTCCTTAAACCAGGAGTTCCCAATTAATTTTTCCAGTGGAACTCTTTGACATAGTGTATCAACATCGTGGACACCCCGGTATTTATGTGCCGGTGTGTGTCTGTGTGCCAAGGTGTGTGTATCTGTGTTTATATGTGCCAGTGTGTGTATCTGTGTGTCAATGTGTATCTCTGTGTGTGTGTGTGTATGTATCTGACACACAGATACACATACACACTGGCACTTAGTGGCACACATATACACACACACTGACATACAGACACACACACCTTGACACACAGATACACACACTGAGATGCACACAGTGACACATACATACATCTTGACTCACAAATACACACACACTCAGATACACACATTGAAACATACACACAGTGTCATACACACACACTGACACACACACACACACACACACAATGGCACATTATTATTATTATGTTATTTATATAGCACCATCAAATTCAGCAGCGCTTTACAATGGGTGGACGAACAGACATGTAGTTGTAACCAGACAAGTTGGACACACAGGAACAGAGGGGTTGAGGGCCCTGCTCAATGAGCTTACATGCTAGAGGGAGTGGGGTAAAATGACACAAAAAGGTAAGGATAGTATTAGCCTAGTGACAATTGCAGAAGAGGAATCAGCCAGGAGCTATTAACAGTTTAATTGATACGCTTTTATGAAGAAGTGGCTTTTTAAGGATTTTTTGAAGGAGTGGAGACTGGGTGAGCATCTAATGGAGGAGGGAAGCAAGTTCCACAGGAACGGTACTGCCCTCGAAAAATCTTGAAGGCAAGCATCAGAGGTGGGTGTACGGACAGAAGATAGACGTAAGTCTTCGGCAGATCGTAAGGGCCTAGACGGGACATACTTGTGTATAAGGGAGGATAGGTGGGAGCAGCATTATGTAGCGATTTGAAAGCAAGAACCAGAATTTTAAATTGAGCTCTATATTTTATAGGAAGCCAATGTAGAGACTGACAGAAGGGTGAGGCATGGGAAGGGCGGGCGGGCAGACAGGAAGATGAGCCTCGCTGCCGCATTCATTATGGACTGTAACGGCGCAAGTTGGGAGCACGTAAGACCACTGAGTGGATTACAGTAGTCAAGGTGAGAAAGGACAGTGGAATGGACCAACACCTTAGTCGCATCTGGCGTTAAGTAGGGGCGGATGCGCGCAATGTTTTTGAGATCGAAATAACAGGATTTGGCGATAGATTGAACATGAGGCTTGAAGGGGAGGTCAGAGTCAAAGAGAACACCTAGGCAGCGAGCCTACGTGGTGGAGCTGATGGTAGCACCGTTGACTTGGATGGAGGCATACACAGGAGTAACAATGCTTGAGGGAGGAAAGACCAGAATTTCAGTTTTGGTCAAGTTTAGTTTAAGGAAGTGGGCAGCCATCCCGTTAGAAATAGCAGAGAGGCAGTCGGAGACACTAGTCAAGAGGTACGGGGAGAGATCAGGAGAGGGCAGGTAGATTTGCTTGTCATCTGCATAGAAATGATATTGGAAGCCAAAGGAGCTGATGAGTTTACCAAGGGAGGCAGTATAGATGGAGAACAGTAGGGGGCCAAGGACTGAACCTTGGGGGACACCAACAGAGAGGAGTTGGGGAGAAGAAGCAGAGCCAGAAAAAGAAACACTGAAAGAACGCTGGGAGAGGTAGGAGGAGCACCAGGAGAGAGCAATATCTTGTAGATCGATATTGCGGAGGATGAGAAGAAGCTGTTGATGATCAACAGTGTCAAAAGCCACAGACAAGTCAAGGAGAATTAGGATAGAATAGTGACCACGAGATTTTGCAGCGAGTAGATCATTGGATACTTTGGTCAGTGCCATTTCCACAGAGTGCTTAGCGCGGAAACCAGACTGAAGCGGGTCGAGCAGAGAGTTGGACTCGATGAAGTATGTCAATCTTGCATACACAATTCTTTCAAGGATCTTGGATGCAAAAGGCAGTAGCGAGATAGGACGATAGTTGGATGGGGAGTTAGGGTCAAGATTGGGCTTCTTTAGAATTGGGGTTACAGTTGCATGTTTGAAGGGCGATGGAAATATACCAGAGGAGAGAGAGAGATTGAGATAGTGAGAGGTGGAGAAAAAGAAGACAGAGTACGGATAAGATGCGAGGGAATTGGATCCAGGGAGCAGGTGGTGGGGCGGGAGGACTGGAGCAGAGCAGAAACCTCTTCCAATGTAGCGGGTGCGAATGAACATAGAACAGCAGAGGGAGTGAAGTTAGGGGAAGCATTGTAAGGGGAAGAAGAAAGATGATAAATCTCTTCTCTGATTGTAGAGATCTTGCCAATGAAGTGAGTTGCAAAGTCTGAGGCGGTCAAGTTAGTAGGTGGAGGAGGAACAGCAGGGCGAAGAAGAGAGTTAAATGTGTGAAATAGTTGTTTGGGTTCGCGGTAGAGTGTGGTTATGAGGGTATTGAAGTAATTAACTTTTACAGAGGAAAGAGCCAAGCTGTATGAGCTCAGCATAAATTTATAGTGGAGAAAGTCAGATGCACAGTGAGACTTTCTCCAACAGCGTTCAGCAGTTCTGGAGCCTTTTTGGAGGTATCGAGTGAGCTTGGTGTGCCAGGGTTGTTGTTGGGGGAGCCTGCGGCGTTTAAATGTACAAGGTGCCATGATGACTAGTTGAGAGGAGAGGGTGGAATTGTAGAAGGAGGTTGCAGAACTAGGACAGGTGAGGTTTGAGATAGGTAAAAGGAGAGTTTGGAGATTAGTGGTGAAATGCTCTAGGTCAAGACATTGGAGGTTTCTGTGAGAGTGATGTTCAGACGGTGGTGTCAATTGGGTCTTAGGTAAGCCAATGTCAAA